TGGACTTAAGAAACCTATTTTCCTAAAAAATTGTTTTAAGAGAAAGATTTTATAAATTTCAAGTGTTAGTATTTCTGGCTGATGGATCAAGGAATGCCAAATGTTTCCAATTAAGAAAACGCTTAATATTATCATCATCATTACTATGGAATGAAACTATCTCTTCTCCTCGTCTGTGGGTTAAACAGCGGGTAAACTGGGCTCTCTAACCATGGCAACCAATCTAGGAGAGTAACAATTCTGAATTCAAAACTGTACGGAGTCTTCACATACTATGCACTTGTCAAATATAATATAAATATAAATATGATATCAAAATATATATAATATAAATATAATATTACAATATAAGTATAATATAATATAAATATAATATCGTAATATAAACATAATATAATATAAATATAAATATAATATTGTAATATAAATATAACATCAAAAAATATATAAATATAATATAAATATAATATTGTAATATAAATATAATATTGTAATATAAATATAATATAAATATAATATCACTTATCAAAAGGATTGTGGAACTTTCAATGATTTTATGATCTCGACTGCAGTCACTGAATTTTTTTCGTTTTTACAATGACACAGTTTTCAATAACTTGTTAAAGAAAGTTGTCTTTGTAAATTTGGCAAATATTTTCTGTAGTTGGAAATTTTTAATTATCACATCTTTTTTCTTCTTGAAGTTTCAATAATATTAAATGTAATGTGAAACTTAGAAAATCCTATGAAAGTCATAAAGCAGTTCCTTATCACAAGAATTACATGTGGTCTACAATATTTTTTACTTGTTATGTAAAATATTCAGTAAATTAATACTTCAGATATTTCCGTCAGTATTTTCCTTAGTTTCAAAGATGAGAAAAAATTAAAAATCATGTGAAACAAATATTCCATTTTATACAAATGAATTATTATTTGTATTATTTTTGTTGCCATTATTATTATTATTTTAGTCTCCATTTTTGAATATCGAATTATTTCTCAAAATATTTATATGCTTTATTTTAAATATTTTTGTTTTATAAAAATAATAAAGAAGTAGAAAATTTTTTTTTTTAAATTTATTTCTGTTGAAAGAAGCAATAAAAATTCTAAGAATTTCTTCTGATGAGCATTTCACCTGTCGGCCATTTTTTATTTTGTGCTATAGTGATTAATTAATTAATTGTATGTACTCTTCATATTCTGAATTAATTACACTGAAAAATCTTTTATCTGATCAAATGTAACTTCAGAGATAAGGATAATTATCTTTACAAATAAAGAAGGCATTCACTTGTCCATCTTTTTATCGCATATGCTGTGTGGGGAAGCCAATAGTTTTTAGTAAAACATGTTTGCTTCTTAATAAAGAACCTTTATAATTTTATTAAAAAGAGAAAGTCTTTTTGAAACAAGGATTTTCTTGGCTGGATTGTCTATATATTTCTTCAATTAATGATATGCATCCAAATTCGTTTGTTTTTTAATTGTCCTGATTTACTTTATGTGGCTGTGTAAACAACAAATACACTAAAACAATGTTTTATAATAGGTAAAAAAAAGAGAATGTGTGTTCTCATTAATATAGTTACATGTAACTGACTGGGTAAATACATAACGATCTGCCTTAAAAATGTCAGTCAGTCATTCAGTTAGGTGCCATATGTGATACACGCTTAGGCGATCATGTATCTTTCGATACATGACTGACGAGGCAGATTTTTTTTCCCGCAGTGGCTTGCCATTTCTTTCTGCGGTAGACCAGTTGACATCCAAAGCTATAGAAGCCGTTCTGTCCTGCTATTTACCCATAGCTGGTGGGAGAAGAAGATGATTCATACCTTTCCAAAGGGTATTAGTACATAAGTCAATGTAATGGATTCGACTGGAATCAGTTCCACTCCAGTATCTAACTCCCGCTGCTATACTCGATCTACAAGAGACAGATCAGATCCAAAATGGAGTATTGCTGTCATATCTGGGCTGGAACTGTACAGTCTTTACTTGCCTGTCTCGAAAGAGTTCAAAAGCATCTACGCGGCCCTGAGGGTGATGAATTATTTTCTACCCTAAAACTGCTTTCCCACGGAGAAAGCATCACAAACCTCTCACTGCCCTATCACTATTTTCATGGCATATGTTCTAATGGGCTACATTCCTTAGTCCCATCACCTCTGACCTTTATAACTGGGACCCTCCCCCCCATGATACCTATGCAAGGGTGAATAATCCCTCATTCCCTTTATATTCCATTGGCAAGGAGAAAGTTTCATCCAGACAGCTTCTTCTCCAGAACTGCTGGTTCCTGGAACAGACTCCCAACAGGATGCTTTCCTGGTCACTACAATCTTGACCTCTTCAAACCTAGGGTTAACCGTTATCTTTTCTGAATAATCCCATGAAATTAACCCTCTACCTTGTGTGGCTATTGAGCCTTGTATTGGTTGAACATTAGTATAACATTGATATAATTTTTTCTCTAAATGATATATATACC